GAACAGATGGATTCAACAGATCAGAGGTGGTAAACAGCTAGGATCTGGGGGCAGATACACAGATCAGTACCTCTCAATGTAATCAGTAATAACGAAGTTAACAGATGGATTCAACAGATCAGAGGTGGTCAACAGCTAGGATCTGGGGGCAGATACACAGATCAGTACCTATCAATGTAATCAGTAATAACGAAGTGAACAGATGGACCCAACAGATCAGAGGTGGTGCTAACATGTAAACAGTCTGGATCTCTGGGAGCTGGTAGATTATTATTATTATCATCAATATTTAACAGCCCATCAACACAGGATAGGTCATAAGGGCCAACAAATGGTCGACAAAAGCAAATGCTAAATAAACTTTTAGGGGTGTGAAAAAGGAGAAAGAACAAAGAGGCAGAAAAGAAAAGAGAAAGGACAGAAACAAAATCTACACTATATACAAGGGACTCTGAGGATTTACCACAGCCAGACCATTCCAGAGGAATGCACAAAGGGTTGGCCCGAAGGCAGACACCTGAAAACCAAACCCCAAGGAAGGAATGCACAATTGTGCAAACCTAGCATTTGCGTCCCGGCCAAAGGACGGTGCTGCTTGGTCTGACCTCAACCTTTCAACCTGTCTGGCTTGGGTGACCCTACCAGGAGCACAAAGCTCCAACCAGCATAGCTATCCAGGTCACTGGGAGGTAGATCTACATGCGTGTGTTGGGGTCGGGGAGGAGGTAGATTTACATATGTGTGTTGGGGGTTGGGTAGGAGGTAGATCTACATGCGTGTGTTGGGGTCGGGGAGGAGGCAGATTTACATATGTGTGTTGGGGGTTGGGTAGGGGGTAGATTTACATATGTGTGTTGGGGGTTGGGTAGGAGGTAGATCTACATGCGTGTGTTGGGGGTTGGGTAGGAGGTAGATCTACATGTGTGTGTTTGGGGTTGGGGAGGATGTAGATCTATGTGTAGGTGTTGGGGGTCTGGGTGGGGGATCTACATGTGTGTGTTTGGGGTCGGGCAGTAATCCACCCACAACTATTCCAATTGTCCTGCTATATATAGCCATTTTTGGGAGGAAAAAAAATCTCTTTTCTATTTAAAATCATCTAGGTCATAGCTACAGCCCTTTTACTATCCAGCCACTTAAGTTTGGGGGAGATGTGTCAGGATTATCAAGACTCAGCTGTAATGATTGGTAAACAGTGATGGTTCTACTCCTTACCTGTGTACAGAGAATATTTAACATCTCTGTTCCACTCCAAGAACATAGGTGTACAGAAACAGAACAAACATGATAATTGATATCGCTAGATCTGTTAACGTTTCAGTCCTAGAACAGACGTGTACAGTCAGACTGACACATCGCTAGATCTTTTCCTGTCGTAGAACATACATGTACAGAGAATTTGACACATCTCTAGATCTGTTCCAGTACTAGAACAGCCATGTACAGAGAATTTGACACAAAAAAACAGACATGTACAGAGAATTTGGCACATCTCTAGATCTGTTCCAGTCCTAGAACAGACATTTACAGAGTATTGACACATCTCTAGATCTGTTTCAGTCCTAGAACAGACGTGTACAGAGAATTTGACACATCTCTAGATCTGTTTCAGTCATAGAACAGACGTGTACATAGAATTTGGCACATCTCTAGATCTTTTTCAGTCCTAGAACAGACGTGTACAGAGAATTTGACACATCTCTAGATCTGTTTTAAGTCCTAGAACAGACGTGTACATAGAATTTGACACATCTCTAGATCTTTTTCAGTCCTAGAACAGACGTGTACATAGAATTTGACACATCTCTAGATCTTTTTCAGTCCTAGAACAGACGTGTACATAGAATTTGACACATCTCTAGATCTTTTTCAGTCCTAGAACAGACGTGTACAGACAATTTGACACATCTCTAGATCTGTTTTAAGTCCTAGAACAGAAGTGTACATAGAATTTGACACATCTCTAGATCTTTTTCAGTCCTAGAACAGACGTGTACAGACAATTTGACACATCTCTAGATCTGTTTTAAGTCCTAGAACAGACGTGTACATAGAATTTGACCCATCTCTAGATCTTTTTCAGTCCTAGAACAGACGAGTACATAGAATTTGACACATCTCTAGATCTGTTTCAGACGCCCTAGAACAGACATTTACAGAGAATTTGACACATCTCTAGATCTGTTTCAGACGTCCTAGAACAGACATTGACAAAGAATTTGACACATCTCTAGATCTGTTTCAGTCCTAGAACAGACATGTACAGAGAATTTGACACATCTCTAGATCTGTTTCAGACGTCCTAGAACAGACATTGACAAAGAATTTGACACATCTCTAGATCTGTTTCAGCCCTAGAACAGACATTTACAGAGAATTTGACACATCTCTAGATCTGTTTCAGTCCTAGAACAGATATTGACAGAGAATTTGACACATGTATAGATCTATTCCAGTCCTAGAAGAAATCTGTCACAGTTTCCCTCCTGACTCATCAGCAGTGTAGCATAGTGTTATGTTCATGTAGACTTGTTAAGGCATTAATAGAGACACCTAGCAATCGATTGCATAAAGAACAAAGGCTTCGTCCATTAACTGATGGCAGATAGATTTTGTGATAGGGGAAGGTTTACTGATCAGGGTCCGTATCAGATCAGGATCGTTCACAGCTATATGCTAGCCCTGTGTCATCAATGGCACAGAAATAGATTAAAAAGTTGTATAATCTAGAGATTATTGATCCCATACATTCCCCCTAAAAAGAAAAAAATACTTTCTGTTGAAATACACTTGTTCAGTATTCAATGCGACACTATAACTATATTCAAAACTATCAAGATGAAATGTCAAATAAATCCAGGGGATTATACAGCAGAGCCAGAAATCTGTGCATCAGAAACGTAGTCAGCAAGTGTTGATATGAAATATGCTTTCCGTATGACTGACAGACAGACTGTAAGTCAGAAAATACTGGAGAATTTTTTGAAACTGATCCAACGTTATAACAGATTGTATTGTCTATAGTGGATTGGATTGTTTACTGGCATCGGGATGAGTGAGATCCAACACAGATGAAATTCCCTACGGAGCACTGCTATCGGTGTATACGTACATAACATGCAATTTCCGTCCCTAACTTATAACGGCTAGCTACCTTACTTAGTACAACTACTGATAGGAATACCTTTCCACTAGTCTAGAGACTGATCTTTATGTTAAGGTTTATTTGAATTTTATTCATACTAAACTTATTATTTATTTCCTGTTAACTGGTCACCATATAGCGTGAATTGATATCGACACAGCACTAACACATGGTACTGGTCACATATCTCATGATGCAACCTCATTTGGCAGCTCCGCATTTCTGGATGATGTACATCATTAATTTAAAGTGAAAGCTTGTGTTGACAGCCTGGTATGTCAAAAGACGTCCACACACTGAAAAACACAGGTAGAGGTGTATCCCTCTAAAAACATGACCCATTCAAAAACTGCAGGGAATGTTTTATATAATGACTATATAAAGTTTATTTAAGGATGATACCTTACTTATTTAACATGAATTTTAATTCTAAAAGAAACCATATATATAAGACATTAAAGTCAAAAGGGCTTTTAATATCACTTCCATATTATCCAATAGTGTTGACAACATATATTACCGATGTGACCTTCAAAGAGGGTCTAGGTCAAATTTATTCAAACGAAGTGACAATAAACTGATAGCAATGCAAGTTTACACCACTGGCCAAATGTCAGTACTCTACATCTCTTTATATTAGTATTTGTGCAGAATGTTCAACTCATTTCAATCACATGACCTTTGGAAGTAGTTCAAGGTCATTTCGTTTTACTAACTTGACAGATATACATTCTTTTATCCTAGCAAGCTACATGCCAAATATTCTAAATTTATAAGATATTCAGAAAAAAAAAGTTTTGATTTTGTAACACATTTCACATCTGTGACCTTGACAGTGGATCAAGGTCATTTATTAGGACAAACTCAATAGGACTCCACATTGGGAAGCTTTAGGGCAAAGTCATTACTCTAGAACTATATTGTACTTAATATTTTTAAAAAAGTAGGTTGAAAATTTTGAAACATTTGACCTGTGACCTTGAAATTGGGTCACAGTCATTTACTTGTTAACTTTTGAAAGCCCTTCTTCCATAAAAGCAAGTTGAGCGACAAGTATAATTACTCATTATCCCCTCCCCCTTTATAATATTATCCCCTCCCCTTTATAACATTATCCCCTCCCCTTTATAAAACACGTTCTATTGAAGAAGACAGAGATAAGTTTTTTTCCCTACAGTTGTTATCTTCACCAGAGATTACAGCTTGTCAGGCAGGACTCACGTGTCTGTTAAGGCGGTTGTCGTGTCACCCGGTTACTAATCAATGGCAGAGCTGATTTGCAATCGAGACAATTTATGTAAAATCGTTTCACAAGACCAATTGAGTCTTAGCTTAATACCTGCTGAGCCACAGTAAAACACTGTTACTGTAACATTGTGATTTCAAACATCCAACAGTTCAAAGTGTTGCTATAAATTCAATCTGGGTTTTTACCTGCTTCCTTCATCACATCTCAGAGTGGTTTGAATGTACATTACATAACAATAGCACTTGAAAGCATGTGATACTTGTATTTAAATCTGAAGCATTACTTTCAAACGTTTAACCTAATTCTAATCCATTCATTCCATGTTTAGAACAAATACGAAGATTCACAGGTTCCTATCTAAAATATATTTTCAAAATGGATTGGTTTCCTCTGTTCAGTTTAGTTAGTTTAATAAAAGACTTTGTGCCCTTACAACAACTAAGGTTAAATAAGGACAACTCTCCATGCAGCATAGTTGCAATTGTATGATACTAAATAGAAAGTACACCTTTAATATATATGACTTGCAAAATGTTAAAAGATCAAGCATACTCGATCACAAGAAGTTGATGAGTTAGATCATGGAATTAAATCAGTAATATTTACCCTCTGCTTTTCTGAGTCCACATATCTCAGACCAAAGTAGTCTTTTTCCATCAGATTTAACTTGTTGCATACTTGCTCGAACAGGACGTGACCCAAAGTATCCTTCTGAAAAATAAAATATATTCACTGTGTCAAAACAGGCGTTATATCACTATAAATAAACTCTCTTTATTTCAATTTCTACTTGATGCATTTCGGCTTTCTGGAAATCTATTAATATTTTGCAGTTTTGTTAATTTATTAACAAAGATAATCCTAATGTTATGCATGTATAGTTGTCTGGAGGTAACAAATTCACCACAGAGCAGCTTCAACTATCTCATTCTTGCTTCCAGTTTTAATAATATGACAAATTGAGATTTTAACTTAAAGTGTCATTAACTTTAAATGGAGCTCAATAAAACCTAGTTCAGAACATAGCTATAGCTATTCCTAAGAAGGTCTTTTGGCTGGACAATGCTTTTTGCACTTCTATATTTACTGATTGGACAATGTTTTCACGTCCGTATTTATTGGCTGGTCATTCAGTGCTTTTCTTCATACATATTAATAATAATTTGAGGTTCTTATATACCGCTTTATCACAACCTAGTTCGTAGGTCGTCTCAAAGAGGTTCACAAATTATTATCTGTGGTTATATAGGGCCTTTGCAATTCAACCAGCCAATATCTTTCTCAACTCCTTGGGGAGCATACAGCCAGCGCTGCCATTGCGGTGCTAGCAATCAACAATTCTAGCACTGCCAAACCACATACTCATTTACAGCTGAGTAGACTGGAACAAGCAGAGTAAAGTATCTGGCTCAAAGATACAACACAGTGCCGTGACGTGGCTCGAACACGCAACCCTTCGTCACGAGCCCGGCGTCCTACCACTAGACTACCGTATGCGTACCTCCTATATTGCTGGACAGTGCTATTCAATGTTCATATTTACTGGCTAGACAGTGCTATTCAATGTCTATATTTACTGGATGGACAGAGCTATTCCATGTCTATATTTACTGGCTGGACAGTACTATTTCAATGTCTATATACTGGCTGGATAGTACTATTCAATGTCTATATTTACTGGCTGGACATGGTCAGTGCAATTACAAGTCTATATTTATTGGATGGACATGTACAGTGTTATTCAACATCTGTATACTAACTGGTTGGACAATGTCTTTCTATGTCTATATTTACTGACTGGACAGTGCTATTCCATGTTTATGAATCATTAATATGGTCGACCCCCTGGTATATCAATCAATTAATAATATATATGAAAAAAAAACTAATGAAGTGTGTGCTTTGAAGTACTGTATTTCTCTATGGTGGACTAGAAGCAATGGCATTACTAAAACACCTGTCTAAAACACTAGACGTGTATCTGTAATTGGAAGAATGAAGTATAATTCATTAACAACAGGTACTGTACAGGTTTTCCCTGGGTGGTTGTGCTTTGTGGTCCTAGATTGATTGTAAGTCTTGACAGGCTATTGATCAGGGTAAAATATATATACAAATGACTAGGGCTGTCACAATATATCGGAAAACAGGTATATCGTAATACACAGGTATATCGTATCGTACCACAATACAGGGATGAAATATTGTCGTATCGCAATATTTTTCAAAAACATATTTTTATGTACCTGCTTGGTGTTTTAACTTTGCAAATTACTACAAATTCTAACTGATATGCCAATAAGCATAAAATATGCTTTTAATAGTTCTAATTTTGTAATCGATGGTTGCATGCATATGGGTTGACAAAAATCTTAAATCTATGTGATCCGTTTTATATATGATTAAGTTTGATAACATTCTGACAACATATTATAAAATTGAGCTCATCCTTCCTGTAATAATACATCGGGTGATGTATCACAATATATTCATTCTGTATTGCAATATATCGTGATCCACTCTTGGCGTATTGTGACACCCCTACATATTACACGAGGACATGGACAGAGTTACAAGTATCCTGGCTATAGTACCCTGTAGATATATAGCTATGTGTGGTTTGGTTTCTAATTGACATTGAGGTTGTTGAATCCTATATATATCTTAAACATACATGTCATTACTAACTTGTACTAAGCGTGAGAGATTTCTTAATCTGCACCAATAATGCACCAGCTTTGTTGAGTCAACTTATCTTGATCAAAGTCCATTACAAAAACTTTTCTTTAATACCTTATATAAAGAGATGAGAGGTGCATTCAGACAAGGTTTATTATTTGTATTTAAATAAGCATGTTCATATACATGTATATACAAAATGATTTTTTTTTCATGGACAGTTTTAACCCTATAGCCGTTCGTGATAACCAAAATATATGATACGTACAGATTTAGAGAAAAACCTGTAAAATGTGTTCAGTGTCATAAAAAGACAAGTGGAGATCTAGAGCACATATCAAATGAAGGTCATCAATACATAGGTAGACTGGACATGTAAAATGAGTCATGAATCAGAATTAGACATACATGTATATAGACAGCACCAGTGAAGTCATGGCCACAAATGATAGCTATAAGTACTGTACATCACTGTCTGAAGGAGGCCAAGGTTAGAAAGACACACAGAAAGCACTAGAACATTAAGGTCAGGGTCAAAATTGATAGGTGGAAAGGAGTTCAAGGTTAGAAAGACACACAGAAAGCACTAGAACATTAAGGCCAGGGTCAAAATTGATACGTGGAAAGGAGGTCAAGGTTAAAAAGACACACAGAAAGCACTAGAACATTAAGGTCAGGGTCAAAATTGATAAGTGGAAAGGAGGTCAAGGTCAGAAAGACATACAGACAGCACCAGTACATTAAGGTCAGGGTCAAAATTGATAGGTGGAAAGGAGGTCAAGGTCAGAAAAAGTCAGACAGAGCTAGGCACGAATAAAATAAAATCGAGGTCAGAAAGACAAACAGACAGCACCAGTACATTTAGGTCAAGGTCATACAAAGATCATGAGCACCTTTAATGTGAGGCTAAGGCACTCTTTGGTAAAAAAAAGTTTTATGATGCCAGGATTGTTAGATTCCACAGTGAGACCTTCCATACAGGTACATGTACCTCGAGGGCACCATTGTCACCTATGTTACTACACAACACGTCATAAACTATTTCTGTATTGACAGGTCGAGGTAAGATCTCTCCCATACACTGACAGCCATTACCATTAAAGCCCTAGAGCTGAAGTCGTCTTTGTACCGATAGGTTTTACATTTATGTCAGTAATATAGTAACCCATGATCAGGAAGCATTGTCTTCGTACAGACTTTCTTGATAAAAGTTCTGCATTTTTTGTTTCTTAAGCCCAAGGCAATTAAAGACAGTGTGCTTCATAAGAAAAATATTCATTGTTCATGAAAATAATTATGATTTAATTACATAAGTGTTTTGTATGTTTTACGTCCTATCAACAGCTAATGTCGTTTAAGAACATGCCACCTTTTGTCCACCAAAGCCCCTTTTCATTATTTAAGCCCATGTCACAAAAGTGTTATAACAGACACTGACCTTGTAATTTAAAATATAAGAACCCCATTATTTCACTTCTTTTGTATAAATATCTTTTTACAGTGTATAAGGAAGTTTTTCAAACATTTATCTCAGCCCACAATATGAAGACGCACATTTTAACACCCGTAGTAATATCTGAAAACATTATTTGGTCCCTTAGAAATATGTATATTTCCATGTATTTTAACTCAGTTTATAACCTATGATACCAAGTGTTATCAAGGTCCGAGTACCACTCGGACATTAAGGATCAAAGTCTCTGTATGCTTGTATATATATACAATCGTCGGTGAAATCCATAAACATGGCTAGCTGTGACAAGGCAAAAATATAGATTTCTGAAAAAATACTGTTAGAATATGGATCCTCAATGTGTACATGTTTTTGCAATTTCCCAACTTTTAAGATTCACGTCATATTGTACACAATATCAGCTTACTCTCGGCGGGTATACTGCAATGTTCCTCTGTTACATTAAAAGTTATGAAGTCTGTGGAAATGATAAAGATACGATGCACTTTATTAACCATTATAAACGGGGAATGTAACGAAAACCGTTATCCGCAGGATGTCACGTTAAGGTCTGCTAGGAAATACGGAGAAATCGATCAAACGTAGTCGTCATCTAATGGAGCATGATCAGGCTAAGATAAGAAATTGATGTACGCGTCATGACATTTGCTGAGAAGTATATAGAGATGTTGGGCTATTACATTGTCTATCAAGGTTTTAAAAATAATCATACAGCTACATGGGTATCAATTTTGTAGGAAAAAACCAGACAACTCTGACAAATGGTTTTTGACATCTTATACAAGATCTTAAACAGGGTGTCATTCAAGGTCATTGATGTCTAGCAGTTTTTAGACAGTTATGTATATATGTACATCATGATGGCATGTTCCTGCCCTGAGGACAGACTTGAAATATGATCTACTGGGATACACTTAAGACTGTATTACAAGTGTTTAATTTACTGGACGGATTATTAGATCAGCGATATAATGCACCAAAGGTAAACTAGAAATGTTCACAAAAAAATATGTCTAACCTTATTATAATTAGCCAATATTCTTTCCCCTTCCTTTACTAAATAAAGTCATGCTTATACTGTCAAATAACCAAGTATCTACAATTTTCTTAAATATTTTTGAATTATTAGAGGAACTGCATGCAAAAAAATATTAAAATGCATGAAGTTATAAGAAGAACCAGTACTGAAATAATATGTTTCCCTTTATTTGAAGGGGAGACATTACAAGCTATCTGACTGAACAGCACATTGTAAGTGTTACAATAAACAAGAGGCACATATGGCCTTGTGGACGGCTACCCCGGCTAGTTGATAGAGCGAAAACTTGTTTTTTTCTAAAAATAGTAAAAGTGAGCTTGACCTTTAACGCAGTAACCTGAAATGCGAACTTGTCCAAGGCATTTCAAGGCATTTCCGTACCAAAAACTTGCATAAAATTTTATGTAATTCTGTTCAGTAATGAAGACGCTAGAGTAATGTCAAAGTGGACGGCTGCCAAGGAAATAAATAAATGTCTGATTATTTTTTGATGCTGAACAGTGACCCTTGATCGAGCTT